TGATAGCATCAGCTCCCACAGTATAAACACATTTGAAGCTATAATTACTGGAATCAAGGCTCCATTTTTTAAAAAATCAACAAAGGCCCAATATGAGCCCGACACAATTTTAATTTTCTACTACAATGTCTTCTTAATATTGAAAAACCACAACGGTTTTCCTTCGAAGAGAAAACAGGTTGTCCAACTTTTACAAAAATCTTAAATCGCGCCTAGTATTTAAAATTAATATTTTTCTTTTAATTGTTTTTACAAAATTTAATACTTAACAATTTTTTAATTTTATTAAAGATTATTGAAGTCTGAATAAAATTAATTACAAACCTTAAGTATACTGAAAGAGCAGTATTTTAAAATAGTGTTTAAATGGTGCCTTTCTTTGTTTAATCGATAACCTTTTTTCATTGTCTCATATTATTATCAAGTAAAACATAAAAATTCAAAAAGATTATTAATATGAAAATAAGTGACTATATTATTAATAGTGAAAAAAATTGACTATGAAAATAAGTGCAATGCGTAAAATAACAGTAAATTATTTATAAATCTTTATATTTGTAAATAATTTTCTAACTGGCTTCCATCTGCATCAATGGTACGTCTTAGTATTCTTCCCGAAAAAATTTTTCAAATTAAAAATGAGCTTTCTTAAGTTGTTTCAAGTAGAGACGTGTAAGGAGAAAACAAGAAATATTATTGTCGTTAAGGACTTTGTTGTAATTTAGTCAAATGTTAAAGAACAAATTCTTTTTCTCAAGTGGTTTTCGAAGATACAGTGATCTGTAATGAACTGCAATTTTATTCTTTAGTACATTCAATTGTTTAAATAAATGATCTTGATCCCAAGACTAAACAATAATTATGTAAATTTCAGAAAAATATAAAAAAAAAACATAATATAAATATAAATATCTATTTATAAACCAACAACAAGTTAATTTTATATATTTACAAAAAAAAAAAAAACAACTATTTAATTACTTTTCACGAAAAAAAAAAAAAATAACAAAAATTTTAACTAATGAATAATACTATAAACTGTATATAAATAATAAAAGAACCGCGCTGTACAGTCAAAAATATCCCAAAACTTGTTAAACTGACTCTTACAATTTTTTATTTATTTCAACGAGCCAACTGAGTGATAAGAGCAGCACACATTTCAAAAAATTCCATTGTATGATGCCCCGCTGTTTGTTGCAAAGGATCTAAAAAAAAAAATTTTTTAAATAATTTATAATTTTAAATATTTTTAAAAATTTAAATGAAAATAACTTTAACCTACCAAACCCTCCCTTGTAAACTATAAAAATATGAATTACAAATGAGAAATAAATATTTAAATAAAAGGTAAAAAGTTAGGTAATACGTTTAAAGGATATTTTTAAAATTTACACACCTGCCGATAGTGATTCTGCTTCCTCTGAATCTGAACTGAGACTTTTAAAATCTAAAAGATAACTTTTAAAATCTACTTGATAAAGTTGCAAAGACATTTTTGTAAAACCATTAACACTGTGTTTTCGCCGGACTCTAACGTGGTACGGATTTATTACTTTCCATTCCTAAAAGTATCAAAGTTAAATTTAATTTTTCAGTTTACGATTTCCACAAGAATTTTTTTAATTACCAAAAAAAAAAATTAAGCTTACAAAATCTAAAGCTTTCATGGCTCTATAAACTTCATTCATGATATCGTGAGGTTTACTTTGAGAACGAATTCCTAAATGCCATTTGGCTCTTTTTACAGGCGTACCTTTTGGAATTAATCTTTCACTAGACTGAGAAGTTAAAGAGCTACTCAAAACTCTTTCACGAAGAGCTAAATTAAAAAAATTGAAATAAATCAAGTATATTTTTAAAAACCAATATCAGCATTATAAATATTATTTAAGGTTAAGAAAAAAAACTTACGAGCTATTCTTTCCGGGTGAGGGCGAACAGGACTAGGATTCATTTCGTTCGGTGAAAATGATGCTGGAGGAGGGCTACTAGCAACATAAAAATCTTTTAATTCCGCTTTAGCAGCTTCATCTGCTATTCTCTTATTATCAATTATTAAATGATAAGCTATGGCTAATTGATCATGAGGATCTCCATTAAGAAGAGCACTATGAACTTCTCCCTCTTTTACACCAAATTTTTCGCATACTTCAATAATAGCATCAGTATCAATAACTGATGAATCTTGTTCGACTGGAGATGGAAACAAATAAGCTGGTAATTCTTTTTGAAACCAATCATGTTTTCTGAAAAAAAAATAAATAAACAAATAAATAAAACAATTATAAAATAATAAAAAACTTATAAAGTAACCACACTATATTTTGTTTACTTTATATCATCTATTGAAGCTCTTTTGATTGGATCTATTTGTAGCATATGACATAATAAACTTACAACTGATTTGTTCAAGTATTCTGGTATTGGAAATATTCCAGCTGTAAAAAAGTTAATCATTTATCATTTATTAAAACTTATTTTATTATTATGTCTTGGACTAAATGCATAGTATAAAATGAATTAAAGCAATTATTAACAAATTTCATCAATCTGTTTTTTTTTTTAAGAGATAACTATTGTTCTTTAAAAAAAAACCACCAAGCAAAATAATTTTTACTCACATTTAATTTTTTTAAATAAAGTTGGCACATGTTCATCATCAAAAGGCAGAGTTCCACAGAGAAGAGCATATAAAATAACACCACAACTCCAAATATCAACTTCAGGACCTGCATATAATTTCCCCGATATTACTTCTGGAGCAGCATAATTTGGTGATCCACAACTTGTTCTTAAAAATTCACCATCCATCATCATATTTGACAAACCTTTCAAAAAAATTAATTAATTAAATAAAAAAAAAATTATATTTGCAAACCAACTTGTTAACTTTCTTGTATTTCTTGTTAACTTACCAAAATCTGCAATTTTAACATGCAAATTGTGATCGAGTAAAAGATTCTCAGGTTTTAAATCCCTGTGAACAACCATATGCCTATGACAATAATCAACTCCTGATATAATTTGTTGAAAAAATCTCCTGGCTTCATGTTCTTTGAGCTAGAAAAAAATTAAATATATAAAGTTAAATTTAAAAAAAGTTTATTTTATCTAAAACAATTAAACTATTCCAAATTCTTATCTCTTATTCATTTCTTAATCAGCTGATTAAACTTAAAAAAAAATTATTATAATTTTACCTTTCCATGATCTACAATATAATCAAATAATTCTCCTCCTGAAACATATTCCATAATCATAAAAATATCTGTCGGAGTAGAAATTACTTGATACAGTTTAATTATGTGTGGATGTCTAAACAATTTTAAATTTTGAATTTCTCTTCTAATTTTTCCAACAACATCTAGGCTTTTGATTTTTTGTCTATTTAATATTTTAACTGCTACTTTATGTTTAGTTAATTGATGTTCTCCAACTGAAAAATTATTAAATATTTTTACATTTATAAATAATCAAATATTTTTTTAATATCAAGGTAACTTATAACAAGAAAGTTGTCAAGTAAGTGTTTTTAATATATTGACAAAATGATTTTCAAAAAATACAAGTTTGCATAAGTCAAAAAATTTTTTCAAAAGGGAAAATGAATAATAATTTAAAACATTATTCTTTGTAAAATATTAACTAAGACAAATAAATAAAATCATG